TCCACCTACAGTGGCTTCAGCAGCCAGCTCAGGTGTAGGTTGCGGAAGTGGCTTCCGGAGCGATAGAGGAGACAGCTGAAGTAAGGCCAAGGCGGCATCTCACTCTCTTTGACTCTTGTCCGTTCTGCAAAGTTGCTTCTGCAAAGAGGCCCTACCCCTGCCTTTGCTAACGCTCTCTCTGCGGCCGCAACAGCTGTCATCCCGTCTTGCACGGACTCTAGCGTCCAGAATGGATTCGGGGTAAAGCTATCGAAGTTTTTCTGTTTCCCATCTTTTGAAGAGGATGATGCTATACGTCACAGCTTGCAACTTGTGCCTAGGTACCCCGCTCAGAAAGAAAGAAAGAAAGAAAGAAAGAAAGAAAGAAAGAAAGCTGGTCTATCTCTTTTTAGGCCAGGTGGAGAAGACAAAATCAGTACCAACGGCAGATGCTGGAGAACGTCACTATTCACAAGGGGAAGAAGTGTGGGAGGGCGACGATTGGAAGGTAGAGAGTCAGGTGTCGTGATACTGTAACTCCCCTCTATCTAGGGAAAAGATGGCATTCTTGACAAATGCCATGAAAGATGAAAAAAAGGACGAAGGAAAGTGTGTGTGAAAAAGACTATGTATGCACGCGGTTGGAAAGGGCTGAATGGCAGTCAAGCCACCAACAAGAAAAAGAAAGTAACAGCAACAGAATCCCCAATCATCATGTTATCGTTTCTTCTGGAGACTTGTTTTTTTTGAGGCTTGCTAGCTTAGATGGCGAGGCGCCTACTTGGCGGCATCGAGGGGAATGTTGTGGTGTGCGTCAGTTGAGAAATGCCGAAAACAAAACAAGATTCTGTAGTTTCAAAGGGCAAAGGAATGAATATGTCAGAGTGGCAAAAGGTATGTTAAGAGTCTCGTGGTTGTAGATGCCCAATTGCTATGTATGCTGTACCTTGGACTCGGTGAAGAAGCTGGGGGGAGAAAATGGTAGGTTGTACAGGTCGGGCAGAGTAGGATTTTTCAAAGGCGGAGTCTCCGCATTCATACCAGGATCTTGTTTGTTTGAGCGATAAAGAGAATTGAATTGCTCAAGATATGGAAGTGAAAAGAAACAAGTTGAAACTTGATTTTGGGATAAGTTTCGTGATGCCATCACCAAAAGCATGCAACTTTTGGATAGTGAATACCCTTGAAGATGGATCATGACCACCATCAACAACAGCCATCACCAGAGTCAAAAAAATGTAGCTGCCTAGTCTAACCGGAAAAGAAACGAGAGAGGGGGACTCAACGACGGAAAACAAGTCAAGGCTACGGTACCCATGGCTAGCCTCTTGTTAGTTACAACCCATGTCCCGGCACAAGAAAAAGAGTGGAGACTGAACCCGCCCCCAAGTGCCATGTACTTTTAAAGACACGCCTCCCCCTCCTCCATCTTCCCCACATCGTACTTCACCCGCAACGAATCGACAGACATGAAAATGACGACGGTTTTTTTCTTCCTTTGCTCGGCCGGGTCTTGAGGAGGGACGGAGCCGGGGACCCTGGGCCGCCCAGCCTCTGACGTCACAGGGCATTTATTTTCTTTCCTTGTCCAACGGTTTTTGAAGTTGAGGTTTCTGATGCTAACTGTAGACGGTGTAGACAGTACATGCTGAAGATGGATCTATTGTTGACACGAGTCAGGTCTATTCGGCATTTGCTGTACAGCATCTCTTCTATGGATGTATTTATTATCACTGTTACTATCATTCCCCTGCTGCAAGTGAAGCATCAGAATCATTATCAGATGGTTGGTTGATACCAAAATCAAGTTTAAAGCCTTGTCCCATGCAGCACCACCACCACCACCGCCATTCTTTGTGACCGATTGATTAATCGCTCTCTCTCTCCTTTCTCCACGTCGTAAAACCAAACCTTGGCACATACACACACCCCGGGCGGCGCAGACTTTCTTGTTAGTAGGACCCTGATCGGCGCCCGATTTAATTCTCAAACGCGACTGGGGGGAGGCGAATTTCTCCGTCGACGTCATACTCCACGAGACTCCGTCATTATCGTCGTTTTGAGTGTGTACGGAATCCTTCCAATTGGTATCTCTGTGCTTAGACGAGGCTGGGGACCCTCGATAATCAGCCACGTCTGCATCAGCTGAGATCGTCAAGGGGACATTGGAGGGGATTTGCCTTGAAGGCATTCGCATTTTGCCATCATAAGAGGTACTGTATGTAACCCCTTGGCGGGGCATCAAGAACCTGAACCTGGTAAAACCGCCATTACGGCGCCGGATCTCTCACGTTCCGTCTTCCCAGACGCCTCACATGTCAGCCAGGCCGCGGCGGGCAGGCAAAAAGCAAGCTGTCACATTGTTACAAGTCATGCCATGGACACACATATCGGGCAGGAAGAAAAGTGACATTCCATCATCCCCGCCATTTCTATTTACCCAATATTGCTTCAGGACTGTGCACCTTGTCGTGGCCCTTTTGCCACTGGATGAATTTGCCCTACGTAGATAGCGGAGCTGGAGGGGTTTTTGGACCAAAAAGTGTCCTCCTTTAGAGGGGTTTTACGACTCTGCAGCAGATGGATTCAGCAGGGAGAGATAAATGCAGCTGAAAAGTAGGTGAGATGGAGTATGTATGTAAAACACATCACCTATCTACTCTCAGACGTGAGCTCCATACTCGATATGCTTCCCTCAGATCTCTCTCCCACGCGAACCTCAACGGTCAAGAAAATCACTGATCCCAGTCGTTGTGGCTTACTCAACGCCCAGTCGCGCCTGAAGATCGGGCTTGACCAAGAAGGGGGGAACTGCAGCAAGGACGTGCGGGAGTGGGCAACAGGGGAGCAAGGGGTTCAGCAACAGGGCCGTTCAGGCGCAAGTGTATGAAGGCGGAATCGGAGCGCACTCATTTTTTCTTTTCTTTTCTCCACCTACTGCTTGATGAGCGGTAAGGAATGGCCTTGCAGGAAGGAGAGCAAAGTGAAAAGAGATGAGATGAGATTGGATGATATGAGATACGAAACCAAACCAAACAGTAGGGCAGAGAAGTAGGTGAACACAATAAGGGAGACAGAGTGTCTTTGCCAATACCAACTTGCATCCAACGCATCAAATGCCATGAAATTCAATCTCAAAATTATTCCAAATACGACAAGACACTCTCAAGTCTCAAAACACTCAGTCGGGTCATCAACACCATTCAAATCCCCATCTTTCATCTCCGTCAAGGATCCCCCCTCCCTTCCTCCCGGTAAATTCAACCATTCGACTCACCGTAGTAGCAAGGTCTGTCTCCATCTTCAATCAATCGTGAAAACGACATCCCCCACCCCACAAAGCTTGTCCTGTCTTGACAACCGTCCCCCGACAAGATGGCGATGCCTCTTGCGGCAGGGATTGTCGACTTCTGAAACGCCAGACCCTTACCATCCCGGGTCGTGATCGACCCTGCCATGTCCCGAGTTGGTTGAATTTTCAACGCCCCCCCTAGATATTTTGTCTTGAGGGGCGTGTGATTGATTGATTGTTAGATGTCCTGTGCTTCCATTGCTCCACGCCAAACAGAACAGACACTGAAGACCTTGGAATAGGGGCACCTATCGCATGAGATTATCGTATTCATCCATCCATTCATTCTCTATCTCTTGACCTTATCGCACCACCAGATAGCAACAACGACAGCACTCTAATTAACCCCTCCCCTAGCTCTTCGGCAACGCCGCCTCTCGTCTACTGCTGCAAGGCGTCAAGAAAGGACATGATCCTTTCAAGACAGGCGCCCAGCGAATAGCCGCAGGGAGGGGAGGAGGGGGGGCATTTCACGATGAGATACAGGAGGGGGTGCGGAAACGGCCCAGCCGCCTTCGCGCTTATTTCCTGTGCCCCCCTTTGCAGCGCAGCAGCCCTCATCCCATCCCAACCCTCTCATCGTATGTCGAGTCAGGGACGCTCCGAAAGATCGTCGTTGTATCCAGAATATGGGAATTCTCAAATTGCCATGACGGTGGGGACAAGTGACATGACCTCCATCCTGTCAGACGACCTTCTAGTCGTTCCATTAAGGGGCAGAGACAGACTCAGTCACTCAATGATTCCGTTCACACAAGTGTCGCTCAAATCAATCTCATTTGTTTGTTCGTTCGTTCAACGCTCTTAACTCGCTCTCTATAGACTATGCCCCCATCATCAATAATCAACTTTGCTTTGTCGTAGCCCGGTCTTCTCTGCCCTGCATGCCCTTGGAGCTCTTGGATGCATCTGCCATCTACGGGACAGAATCAAAGCTGTGTGCCGTCTCAACCGGGTATATCATGACCGTAACAGTAGAAACTAATAGTACAATCCCATCATCGTCTCCCCCCATAACACATCTTGTAAATATGGTGCCCGGATCCCACGTTTCTCGAAGAGGGTCCGGCAAAAGCGATCGCTTTGAAGTATAACACAAGGCTTCCTTGGTGTGCCGTGCCCACAAGCAACAAAAAAAAACAAGACCAGAAACTCTCAATAGACCTCAACAAGGCCCGACTCCAGGAACGCCGTGTGGAAGGGTATCGGTAGGTCGGTCCACCACTCCGCCTAATCCCATCCCAATGTCCCAAATACCCAGATAAAAAAATCCCGAGGATGGGGACTTGACCTCGAAAGCAGCCCCATGCACCGAAAAGCGATAGACTCGAATCGTATACACCGCCGTTGTCCGCCGCCCCCTCGCGTCCGACCCATGGATCCCACTCTTCCCCCCAAGCCTTTTGTGACCCATTTCTCTATGCCGCGCTAAGCCGTCATTGTAATGTAATATTTGCAGGTGTTGTGTTGCGTTGTTGGTAAAAATCAGAGCAATTAAATATCAGTAATTCTGGTCGATTCGACTGTCGTCGCTTCGCCATTCGTCAGGACCCGACGCGGGCTGCATTCGTTCGTGTGACCGAAGGAAGGCAGAAAAAAGGTTGGAACCTCGAGTCGTCGCAAGCTCGCGTGGGTTCAAAGTAAAACGTAGTCATGAAATGTCATCGAATCAGTCCGAGTGGTGATCCTCAGAGCCGGCCTCAGAGCGTGCGTCACCCCGATGGACCTTGCGGTGTCGACGGAGGTTAGACACGACTGAAAAGTGTCGGCCGCAGCCCTCGACTTCGCATGCAAAGGCTATTCAATGTTAGTACCTTGCGCTTTCCAAACACACCATGAATACATACGCTTCTCGCCTGTGTGGCTGTACATGTGAGTCTGCAGAGAGCTGGGTCGCGTGAATCGCTTGTCGCAGACCTTGCACTTGTGCTTCTTCTGGGTGCTCGACGAGACCTTGGAGCTGAACTGCCCCATCATGGACTGAGGAGCGGGAGGAATCTGAGAAGCCATGAGGCCCTGGGGTCGGGGCAGCGTCCTCGAGTTCACCGACTCAATGTCAGAGCCTGCGGTAGAGTAGTCTGAGACCGAATCGCCATAGTACGAGCTAAAGTTGCCACTGGAGGAGATGGAGGAACTGGTAGAGTGGGTAGAGGGGAATCCATAGGAATCAACGGAGGAACGATCACTTCGGGCCCCATAGATGTTTCGAGGGGTCTCCTGGCTCATGGCCAGCATGCCATGGCTGGCATCGAGAGCGTCGGCAAAACTCCTCCGTTCATCCTGGATACTTCTGCCCGAGTTGTTAGTACGTAGTTCGTCGAATCTCGTTCGTGGGCATCTCAGGTCGCTTGCCCTTGGTGTCACTTACTGCTGAGAGAATCTCCTGGCATGGTCGTCAGGAGCAAGCCCAAAGGGTGGCGGTCGCACGGGAGCTGGGGCATAACCCAGAGTCTCGTAAGGTGCAGCCGATGTGGGTGCAAATTGGCCGTTCACAGGTGAGGCGGATGTTGTGTAAGTCGGGTCACCATATGCAGCAGACGTTGTTTGCATGCGGTTGAGGGTGAGGAGATCTGAGTTGGATGAGTGAGCATACTGTTGGTGAGAGCCGCCATATATCGACGGAAGTCGTAACATGTCCGGCATACCTGCAGAGGTGCTCGCAACTGGCATTGAGTTGCCGTAGGATGCCATTGATGATGCGCTGCTGGTGCTCGCGCGGCTGTGCTGGTGAGGCTTGCCGGCCATCATGTTGGGGTTGAGAGGCTGCTGGCTGCCGACAAAGAGACCACCGCCAGCAGGAGGAGGCTGAGGGGGCGACGACGACGACCATGGATTCGAGAAAGCAGGAGGTTGTGCCGGAGCTGAATAGTCGAAATTCAACGAGGGGCCGAACCGCTGTTGAGTAGTGTCGAGCGTCATGGTCATGTTGGTTTGCTAACAGGACTGTGTATGTGTATAGAGGGGTTTGGAGACCGTATCAACATAGATCGGTGCGAGGTTTGGTTTTGGGTAGGAAAAAAAGGTTTGTTGATCAGATGCGGGATCCCGACTAGAAGAAAAGCCAAGTCGGTGACACAGATCAGAGACAAGAAGATCCCGTTCAAGGTTGGAGATGTTATGGGGAGTTCAGTCGGGGCCAAGGTGGGATCAGCGAAGTCTTAAGTGTCTGGGTGGTGTGAATTGACGTGCGTCAATCTGCCTCTGGAAACGGGCTTGGGCTGCGGGAGAACAGTGGAGATCCCCCGTCTCTCAGAAAGAAAAAAGGTGTGACGACTCCGGTCTAAGTGATCGGCAGGCCGGACGTCCTTTCGCAATGGCTGAGGCGACAGGGTTGGTGCGATGAGGTAGGGTCGTAGGACCAAGTAACAGACCAGGGGGGGTTGTGGGCTGCATAAGATGATGGCCTCTAATCCACAAGTCAAGTTGACAGCCCACGGCACCCAGATAGCGTCCGCGGTGCCAGACGGCGCAGAGATCAGCGAGGTATCGAGTTGCCTTGGTCAGAAATCCTGGAAAGGGCCCCTCAGGGTCGTCGAAGCTCGGCCAAGCTGTTGAGCACGGTGATGTAGTTGTGAGACGTCGTCTTGAGGATTCCTTCGAGTTGATTTGCACGCTCTCTGGAACAGAATTGATCGAGTTTCGTTCAGTCCGAGCGACGAGGGCAACGGTTTATACGTTTAATCCCCCCGGGGGAATCGCTGACCAGCAGAATGTCGACCGCGAGCGACCTCTGCCAATCTGAAAGGGGGTGCAAGATGGCAGACGGGGCATGATTACGGGGTATGCTAGGTCACAACGTGCAGGGAGGGTGTGGCAGCAGCAACAGCTTCAGAGGGCAGCAAGACAGAGACCAGAACAGACAGAGTTGGAGGAGGTGGGTAAGGCTAAGGACGGCAGTTTGCAAAGGGACCCCCGCCCCCCCAAGCTCAAAGGCCCACGAACGAACGCCACTGATGTGGAGGGTCTCAGATGGGTTGCAAAGGACGCCGGGGACGTACCGGGCTGGGAGTTGAGGTGGACGGCGGACAAGGCGGGATTATGCAGGGTCTGGTCAAGCAGAATGAATGGGAGGGCTTGCCAGAGTCGTCTGGTAGCGTGCCTGCGGATGACTTGTTGCGACGCGGGCGGCGGGTGGGAATCGAGGGTCCCCCCAAGCCACTCAACGGCAGCATCGAGGGATCCGCCGGGGCTTGTTTAGCGTTGAGAATTTGGCAATGAGCTTCTTTGCTCCAGCGGGCTTGGTTGGTGGGCATCGTCGAGTCGTGCACTGGGGGTCATGGGGAAGAGATCAAGGATCCCACGTCAACAAGCAACGCCAAGGGAGACCGGGCTGTGTGGGAGAGGAGCCAGAGGAGCCAGAGACGTACCGGATACCTCGACGCCAGCCAAAGGCTTCCCGGGAGGCGTCGGCCACAGGGCGCCCCTGTCGCGGAAGGGTGTCTACCCATGAGAGCCCTGACGTAAGGTACGTCAAGAGACAGCACCAGGGCGAGTGTGTGTGGAACTCAGAAACGAGACAAGAAACACTGGGAACGCAAGACGGTGAAGGAATTGAAACAGCCTTTGGAGACGGCGCTAGGGGGGGCCAGCAAGAGGCATGCCCACGGCCCATCAGAGGGCGCGAGTGGAGGGCGACAAAGGGGCATTGACATCAGTCGTCCAGGGTGGCCCAGCATGGCCACTGACTGACGTTGTGGCCCCTCTCCAAGATGCCGCGGCGTCTCTCACAGGGCCCATAGCAGGCAAGGCCGGGCAAGGCCACACGAACCTCAAAACCCTGAGAACCTTTGGCATCTCCGTCATCGTGCTCCAGAGTCGGGGTGGGACAGCGTCAGAGGAGCAGGGCACCATGCCTGAGGTGGTGTTGCAGTGATGCCATATCGCGCGCCGCGAGTCGGCTTTGGTTCCTTGAAAGCCTCTCTATGTGTCGTTCCCCTCTTTTGTCGCCTTTCCCCGTGCTTTGCCTGCACTGCACTGCACACCTAGGTAGCTGACCGTCCGTCGCGGCTCTTGGACCCTCGTGGGGGACAGTAGAGCTCTGGCGACGGTTACATACATGGTCCTCTCTGCTCATGGGGTAGCATCCGACGAGAGCGGATAATGCAATGAATGACCGACCCAATGCTGGACCATGCCGTAGCGTCAATACCAATCCAGCACATGCTAATGGTGGTTGAAGCCGTTCTGCCTGCCGGACCTTTTGCTCGCGTATTCCGACAGTGTCCAGGGGCAGTTCAGCAGACTGTGCAGCCGACCTTGGGATAGGGTCTTTTTTTGTTTTTGTTTTGTTGACGGCAGTTTAGTTACGGCGCTGTACCCAATCTTTTCTTGACGCTGGCGCTGGCGCTGGCGCTTGAGGATGCTGGATTGAACGCTGTGAGATGGCTGTTTTGGCGGGCTTGGCTTCGCCCTGTGCTCGATTTCGCCCCATCGTGGGACCTTTCGCTAGCGCGACGCCGCCTCCACTTCGGGGAACGGCTTCTGAGATCCAAAATGCCCCTTTGGGGAGGGGCGTGTTGGGGTTGGGTTAGGGTGGTCGTGTGTGTGCGAGTGTGAGTGTGAGTGTGAGTGAGTGCGTGTGTGCGTGCTGTTGGTGCGTTTTGTTTTGTGTGTGAGCACAGAAACGAATTGGGATATATCGGCGTTTAGAAGCCAGTCTCCCTATGAGCTGCGCACTGTACTTGATTGTATTCCACAGCACATTTTAAAGTCATCTGGACTCTTCCCCTCTGTTCTTGCCATCTTTCACACTGTACGGGGAGCCCCAAACCCTCCACGTGCGTGTAGGTAGGTACAGAAGGCAGGAGAGAGGCAGTCCCTTCCCATCTAATTCATTACGATACAGTACACGCTCCTTCAATTCCTCTCCATTCTCAGTCACATTCATCCTCATCACCGCAACTGGATTCATGCGTGTGAAATGCTCCCTCTGCATGACAGCTACTGCTCATGCTACTGCATCTCTACCCTTTTCGACCTTCCTCTTCCCTTCCCTTGCCTGGCCTCGTCGACGCCTGAGGCCCCAATGCATCACAGGTGTCCGCTTGGCCCGCCCGTTCGCTGACCCGATGATGGGAGTGGCGCCCAACTAGACATGGGTTCCCGCTGTCGCAGCCAGTTGAAGACGAAGCACACCCTCCTCTTCACCTCGATCCGCCACGGGAATAAGGATCTGTTGCCTCAGGCCGCAAAACTGATGCGACCCGGCATGGGAAACCCAAAAGGCCACCACCAGGAAAGTCCAACATGGGACATGGGACATGGGATATGGGGGCCGCGACATGGGGCGGCGGCACCAACTACAGCACCCGAGCCAGTCACCACAGACCGCCCCCGAGTTTTCGACACCAGCCAATTCACTCCATCCGAGCCTTGACACGTAGTCTGCCCACTCAATCTTGATCATTCACTCGCCTCTCCTATGTCGGCCGGATGCTAGCCTCCAAAGGTGTGCGAGCCTTGCGGCGGCGCTTTTACCTTTGAGAGCAACTAGCTCGCGGGGGGTAGCTCGAGTTGGCCCTCCTGTTCGAAGAAGAATGGAACGTGGTAATGGAAGATGCAAGCTAACACTTGGCTCATCTATGGCCAGCAAGGGCTTTGCTACCTACAGCCTCTCAACCCAGGCTCGACTATACTTGCAATCTGCCGCTCATCATCACGGGTTCAACGCCACCTAGAGCGGCCCGAATTCGAATCAGAGGCGCCAGCATCGACTATCCACGACCGCGACCCTGACTGAGTTTCAAGGTTGCCCTTTTCACACGTTCTGACGACATTAGGCTCGCAAGGTGCCATTGAAAATGGAAGCCAACACACCAAAACGAACACCATGTTCCCCGTTCTGGGATTACACTTTCTTACCACACCACCTTGGCCGACGAAGACGTCAGGAGCAGGTTCTTTCGAAGACGTCCCCACGTTTCCTGTCTGCAATTGTCTGTTGACCCCGTTGTGGCGAGTTGCCAGTGCCTGATACGGATTCCGGCCGAGCTCTGGAAGAAGTTTGCGCTTATTCCGATTTCTTTGGTGGCATGGACCAAGTTGCCCGACTAATCCCGATTCGAGCGTCGGAGGCCGAAAAGGGATGCGTGAAACATGCACCTGCAAGGGACCCCGGGAGCCTTTTGATTGTGGTTATCTCTTAGATCTGACTCGATCATCGAGACACCCGGCACTCGAATCTATACCTTAGCAGCGATGCCGAAGCTATCGTTTCCCAGCGCTACTCTTATGGCGTCGATCCGGCTTTTGAGTGAACGAAATGGGGCACCGCGGTATAGAGAATTGGTCTCCGAGGAAGATTGGCTTACTTGGAGCTGTACAATGCCAAGCTCCAGTCAATAATTGGCAAAACGGCGGTGCTTTACGTAACCCTCCTCGACCTTCAACACTTCCAAGTCAAGTTTGGTGCTCTCTCTTAGTCTGTTTGGATAAGATACCCGAGATTGACGATGTGTCGATCACGACATGCTACCGGCAGATGCAGGCGGACCGCATGAACATGCGCAATATCGCAATCATGCAATGAGGTTGCATGCCCGAAGTCTTCTAGAAGCTGGGTATGTCCGAAGACCAGCTCCTGTCAAGAAAGAGGCCTGGTTCACCAAACGAGTCACAGAGCTTTCAAAACTCTCATCTCTCTTGGAAAATTGAAAGGATCACGAGAATGGGCGATGTGGGTTCGGCAGGCAGATTGACAGGGCAATAAGACCAGTCAGAGCACGACTTCAGGACATGGGTGCGTCTCAGAATCGACCAGCATTCCCCAGCCCGCCTCAACATGCCCCAGGACACCAAAGGCGACGAGTGCAACCTCAACGGCAGAGACCCGAAGCTGCCTGTCTCTTGTCTTCCTTGACTAGGCTTTCTTTTTCATTGGACTTTGTTTCATTGAGCCTCATCTCGCCTTCAAGATTAGCATGTGG